CACGGGTCACGCTTTGGACACGGACTTTCAGACAAACGTAGTTTATCCTCCGTGCATCGCACAGACAAATCAAAACTAGTTTCGGAAAGCCCTGAATACGTACTTCACAGAGGAAAAAAAAAGTAAGTTGCTACGTTTTACCGTTCGCGAGTAAATTGATCATTTGTAAAACATGTGCGCATGCATCGGCGCCGATGCAGACGGGTTCATAGGGTTAAAGTAGAACTAGAATTTAACATGCTGCTATCCAGAATATATAACTACAATATGTGTTTATAATATTTTGGGTGTTCATTTTGACATATTCAGATGAATTATGTAAAAAAAAAACGGCTTTGAAGTCGCACTTTTTCACTTCCGCATAGAAACGCTAGGGGGCGCCAAAATGGCGGCGATGACGTAGGACGGCAGCGTACAGCAGTCTAGGCTGGAATCTGTAGGAGGTTTCACTGTCATCTGAACAAGGTATAAACATATTTTCATCAGTTTTGTACATAATAGTGTTGGGCAAGTTAGCTAACTCTACTTGATATCATAAAACATGCTAACAAGGCTAATATTCGTTTTTACATTATGCCAGTCTCACTTTGGTTGCCTTAGATTTATTTACCACAATGTACATTGTAATATCCAAAAATGCTAATCAAAATAACTTGAATTAAATAAATATTTTGCTTTTATGAACAAAAAGCTGCTGAAGTTGAAAACACAAGAGCTAACATGATAACTACATGTGATGCAATCATTGATAAAAATGCTAATTAAACCGTTAATAAGTGTTAGCATTTATGGATATTACAATGTACATTGTGATAAATAAATCTAAGGCAACCAAAGTGAGACTGGCATAATGTAAAAACGAATATTAGCCTTGTTAGCATGTTTTATGATATCAAGTAGAGTTAGCTAACTTGCCCAACTCTAGTTAGCTTGAATCTCACAAATAAGGCTAAAAGGTTAAAAGAGTTGCACACTATTATGTACAAAACTGATGAAAATATGTTTATACCTTGTTCAGATGACAGTGAAAGCTCCTACAGATTCCAGCCCAGACTGCTGTCTGCTGCTGTGAGATACCCTTCTCCTACGTCATCGCCGCCATTTTGGCTCCCCCTAGCGTTTTTTCAAAGGTGCCACTTCAAAGCCGTTTTTTTAACATAATTTATCTGAACATGTCAAAATGAACACCGGAAATATTATAAACACGTATTGTAGTTATATATTCTGGATAGCAGCATATTCAATTCTAGTACTACTTTAAGCTTCATTAATATTTACAGCCTATGGGCTCTCAACAGGATTTTTAACACCGTCAGTGTCCCTGCATGTACCCCCCCACACACACACACCCACTCTGCACCAAAAATAAATATAAATGTAATGATTAATTATACGAGTGTCATAGATTAGTATCCAGAGACTACAAATCATTCAAGATTACTTTGTCTTGAATTAAAATGTGTTTGAGGTTCCTTTGAAAGACAAGTTAGATGTATTACCTTGTTAACGTGTTTCGACTGTTGAGATGTGAAGCAATTGCAGCATGAATGGATTAAACCAGAAAAATATGGTTGGAATATCATCTCACGACATACAGAGGCTGTTTGCAACAACGAGAGGAGGATGTCTGCTGCAGTAACACACAGATATTACAGCTACAGGCGCAACATGACACAACACAGTCACAACAAAGCTAAAGCAGAAGTCATGTTAGCAAAAGGATTGAACATAATAATCTTGTCTCTCGCCCTGCCTCTCATTGCATGTGATTTTTGTCAAAGTTAAGAGTCATTATTAGGTCTTTTTATTTTTGTCTCATCTTTGTCCACATAAAGCCTTTGTTTACATTATATTGTTTGTTGGTCTAAGGATAGTGATGATCCATGATATTTAAAGCAAAAATAACACTGCTTGAGACACCACCTCAACAAAAACAAGGAAAAAGCTGCTGATTGCTCACTTGTTTTGTGGTTGGAGCAGAGCCCTTAAGGCCTTTGATGTGGCCACGTTTCTGCTGACATGGCATAAAGGGGCAGAGAGCAGAGGGGCCCTGAATACGGAAGTCGTTTGAGATCAATAAGGAGATTTCTGAAGTTGGAGTGTCATTATACATCAGGCACAAGCATGCAGTCTCTCTTTTTAAAGTCACAATCATATTGTGATGGACATAATGACACCGGGGAAAACCAAACGCAGTCTCGAGGAGGGAGTAATGAAGATGAGGTGACAGGCTGCAGTCTGTGAGGAATGAGAACACTCTTGTATGTATGAAATAGCACAGCCCTGATGATGTGATGCGTCTCCCTCAGGGACATCTCGCTCTTTCCAATCCAATAAAACATTTGCAATTTCCAAACATATTTACACAATTTGGATGGCTGAATGGGTGAACAAACAGACAGTGTGCTATTTCTCTGTTTGCCAAGGCTGGGTCTCCAAGATGTCTGCATATGAGCACTCCACGGACGTCCCAAACATTAGTAAACGACACATTTGGGGGGCTCTGGTTCTCCCGGTCTTGTGCAGTAGGTGCGCTAGTGGGCCAAAGTAACAGGTGAGCTTTCTGATTAATCAGGGCTGACGGTAGTGCTCGCTCACGTTGCTCGCTCACGTTGTTCTACTGTAGAAATACTGGTCTCTAAAGCTGTGTTCCCACTGCCGATGCATGGACATGTGTTGATGGAGGCATGGACGCACATACACTATAATTCAGCTGCATGAGTTTAGTCAATTGGACGTACTGCGTTGCGTTGGGGAAAATCGCAGGGCAGAAATGGTGGGCGGGCTTTGAGGCTGCTCTCTTATTGGTTGCCGCACTTGTGTGGAGCGAGGACGTTTATCTCCTGCTTTTGCTGCCTGCCTCCAGCCGCTGTAGCCACCTCCTCTGCCTCGATGCAACAAGGTGTCCGCTGCCCCTTACAAACGTGCATGCTGTGACGTACATGCAATTCCTAGCATGGGCGGACGTCACCATTGTCTTCGCATTGAAACTCGCCGCCTCTCATAATCCGGTGGGATATATAGCAACAGTCTTTGCAACATATTTGCCCCTTTTGTAGCACAAAGCCAAACCTGTCAGGGTAAATACCCATATAAGGAAATTGGCTCCAGCTAGCTTAAGTTCAAATCAGCCTCTTTCGCATTTGGGAAATACTATAGTAACTTTGGCCCTTGGTTGGTGCTCTCCTAATGTACGGTCAAGATTGTGTTTAAGAACCAATTTTATTGCTATTATATTTCCCACATACAGTAAAAAAAATAAAGTATTCCAAAAGCATGTCCAATAGCTCTGTACATGGTTCTTCTTGGCTAATTGAGTGTAATGTCTTTAGTTCCACCTGGTTCATGTGAAGTGTCACTCTTCACACTGGTCGACACAGCGTCTGTGAGAGCTGTATTTAAGATAAGACATAATGAGCTGAGAGGAGCAGAAGCAGAGGACTCCATTCAGTCGCTTTAGAGCCGGTGGAGGCTCTGAAAATCTACCATAGCTTACTGAAAACCTTGCAGTATTCCATTTGAAGTTTGAACTTACAAAAGAAATACTAGGTATTATTCCTGGGCATTCAAAATTATTAAGGCTATACATTTTGTCATTTCATGTATTAAATGTAGAAAATTAATTTTGTCTTCTTATGCTTAAGGCTTTATAAGTTCTTCTAATAAGACAATAAGGTAAAAAAAAAATAAAAACAAATAAGCTGGTACTGCTTAATTACCTGACAGAAGACCATAAACACAAAAGATGGATACGAGAGGCGATTGAGATCAGGAAGCGGGGAGCACGGACCATCAACAGAGACGAGGGGGCTTTCACTTTGGCTCACACTTGGGACTCACTTCTCCAGAGACCACAGCGCGGCAGGGGACGTAATCAGTCTGACGGATCTGTGAGATCTGAGAGAGACTGACCGCATCCGACAACAACAATTAATAAGAGACGCGTCACACCATAACGTGTCACCTCTGATAAGGCGGAAGTCTATCGTCGAAACATGTCAGGTAATTAAGCAGTACTAGCTTTTTTTTGCCTTATTGTCTTATTAGAAGAACTTATAAAGCCTTTGTCGTTTCATGTTTCAGAATGTCAAATAATATATTTTTTCTTTCAGTAAAACTTGGGATTTTATAATATTCATACTGTACAGCTGTCATATGAATTAAATTACATAATAAAAATGAAAATCAATGTTTACAAAAATGTATTGAAATTGCACCATTATATGTGATAAATAACTTACTGTATAGAAATGTTATTTAGGATCTTGGGGATAATAGAGAAAAAATTTGAACCCGTTACTATGATACCTTTCACAAAATTACATCATAAGTGCAAAAATACTGTACTGTAAAAAACACTTAAGCAGTTTGTCTGCAACGAGGCTGGGGTTGCTTCAGTACCAGAACTGTTAAATCCGTAAAACAAAATAAACTAAGTAAACAAATCAAAGATGAATCTAATGTATATATATAATGTATATACACAGTCACTTTTCAGCCGGCTCCCATGAGCGCTTCTGCTATTGCATCTTCTCCGCTCATCTCTTTGTGTAAAACACTTTCAAACCCAGACTCAACACAAATCACGTGTAGATCAGTGATCAAAAGCTTCAGCTGTCTCGGGTTTGCATTCTAGCAAAATTCCGCCAAAATTATTGTTCTTTTATGCATCAGTAATTGCAATCTCTGCTGTACTTTCAACTTTTGGGGGGATAAGTACACACAGGAGTGAACCATCATGCTCTCAAATGATCTTTGGTGCAGGGGGTGTGTGAGTAAAAGGCTTTACAATTGGCTGTTTTACCTCACGCAAAACCGCTCAAAGATCCGATTGGACACTGACTTCCCAATACACATAGCTATCCCTCCCTGCGTCTCACAGACAAACCTGAACTTGTTTCTTAGAGCCTAAAGTGTACAAAGAAAAAAAATAAGTAAGTCGCATGCTTATATCGTTTGTAAGTAAATTGATTACTTAAATACGTCTTTATCACGGCAGCATGCACATCACCCACGAGTCAGAAGAGGAGTTCCAGTCTTGGCGAGAACACGAGCTGTGGTCACTCTATCAGACTGTGGTGGTGGTAATGAGGGAGCAGCGTCTGCAGTCAGAGCTGTATTGGACTGTAGGGGTGAAGCCGCGTCCAAAGACAAAACTCCTAAGCTCATGTGTACAGATTGGCCGATTGTATGTGTGTTTTTTGATGACTGTGTGTTGACTGGGTGTGTTGACTGGGAGATATTCTTCTTTTTGTTTAATTAAGTTTGCAAGTAAACAGCGTCAGGGAACTATGGTAATACACTAGTCAGCTACAGTATTTAGTTTAGTTTAGTGTATGTATTGTGACAGAGACAGTGTACAATAAATGGCAGAGTAAGGATGAATGAAAATAATGGTAATAATAGATACAAAAAACAAATCAAAAATGATAAATAAATTACAGTGTGCATAGCTTGGCCAAATGAATGTATTACATCCTCCCATGTTCACTGGTTTTATGCAATTCAAACTATCACAAGACTTTCTTTAATACTTTCTTTAAAAGTTGAAATGCGTTAAGACCCAATTATATGCTGTATATTGATGAGGTGGTTTGCTTTTGTAGATAACTGTCAGCTAAATTACATATGTATAATGAAAGCTCTATGAATAACATCAAACGTGTGTGACCTTGATTTGCTTCATCGCAGGCCTGAAAAGACGACATCACTCAGTCCAACGAATGATTTACTTGAAGCTCAAATTGGAAAAACACCGTCAAGCGCTCCCTTGTGCGAGACCCACGCGCGGGCCTATTATGCATCTGCTGTACGCATCAGGAAGCGGCTCGGCGGGGGTCCGATGTATGTTAAAATATGATAATCCCTCCAGGACTTGCGCCCGGCCTCCTGCCCGCTCGCGAGGCTCGTTATCCAGCTCGAGTCAGCGGGTCACGGACGTCTCCCCGTGCGCGCCTCGTACGCAGTGCAAACAACAGCAGATGTTTGCGTGTTTGTGTGGAGGAGAAAAGAGATGTTAGGAGACGTGGTTGTTATGGTGGCGAGCTGCTGTCTGCAAAGGTAATGGGCTGTGCTTAGACGTGCGCACGGAGATCCCACATCCATAAGGACAGGCTTTACATTCCACCAGCCGTATGCTAGGAATAATCAGGACATGTGATTCTTCTCTCTCTGTGTAACTTTTCGATATGCAGCATTTTCAAGTGCCGTTTTGGCATGTTGTTTGGTTGCATAATAGAGTGATGTTGACACTAGAACTCCCCAGAGCAGTCTTTTTGACGGCTTTTAGCGTAATTACTCAGGTCATGTGCATTTGTGGTCTTCATTACTTTGTGACATTTTCTGTTTCTATGTGTAGTTAATTTCAATGCCATTATTAAAATGACAACATAAATCTTAAATTGATCTTTTATTGTTGTAATGTGTGTGTGTGTTGAAATGTGAAATGTGTCCTCCTGTGGACTCACCACCCGCAGGAGGACTAGTGAAAATTCAGAAAATTGGGTGGCAGCTCAATGCCCTCCCCCATGCTTATGTATAATGTAGAACACTTGCCGAACTATTAACTGCACCTGTAAATAAACTGCACTAGCCATGTTTAAAAAGTATGTTTTTGTTCACACATAGGCCACACTTGAAAATAAGGTTTTTGTGCTTTACTGTAACAACCAATAAAAAAACGCCTTGAGGGAATCAATGAGAAAACTACTCTGGGCATGTGTATGAAGCCAAATAATACTGTAATCAAGTTAAACCAGAGAAAAGTCAAAAAGCGTAATATTGGTCCTTTAAACATACTCTTATTTACGGTGTGACATTTACATTTTGCGTTTTGTCTTCACTACAATTATGTATCACACAACAAATGTTTGGTGTTGGCCAGTTTGTACATATAGGCTTTTGATTCTTTTGTTGTTTCTAAAACAAAACATTCAAACAAAGTCAACAAAAAGCCTCACACACTAAACCTGCTTCAATATTCCAGTTGAACAATCATTTCCAAAACAACAATTTGCCGATGGATGATTTGGATGCGCTCAGAACATGAGAACAAAGACCTTCGCAGCTGTAACCGCTCTCCAGTCAAGAGGCCTGCGCTGCACTCAACTCAAACTGTTTTTTATTTTAGTTTTTGCACATTCCAAACAAAAGCACGATCACTTGGTGTTGTGCGCCCGGCTGGAGGTACTTATTCAAAATGCACTCACTGTCATTTTCAATAAAACGGCGGCAAGAGGTGAATCCTTTGCCAAGTGTCCTGAAGTACATGGTGTGCGGGCTGTTTTCTGTTGCGAACATGACTCCTTCAAACGAACAAGTTAAAGGACATGTGTTATGAAGAATAAACTTCAGAACATATAATAATCGTTACAACATTGTTTGCTCATTAAAAACAGAACTGTTTGTTGACTTGAGCTCACAGGCTCAAATAGGTATCCTCACTTCTCTCTCACCCTTGACACTGGATTTGTGAACCCCCAAATTCAACGTCCTGTGCTCCGCTCCCATCAAGCCGAGGGTCTCCAAGATGTCTGTCCATTCAAACCAGCGGCCTGTGCTCATTGACTTCTACTCGCTCCATGGACGTCCCAAACACTAGCTGAAGTGACGCATTCTGGCCTGCTCTGGTTCTCCCGGTCTGTGCTGTGGTTCATGCAAGCGTATGTGAGCATTCTGACCAATCAGAGCGGAGCTTGAGCAGGATGAGTGCGAGCGAGTGTGAGTTCATATAAAACCGATGGCTTGACATGGGACACTAAAATCAGCCAAAATCCAACCACTGTGAAAGCTGTAGTTTCCCTGCCAGCTAAGGGCAAGCCGTTTTAGTGCACACTGAGGTCTAGGGGTCTAATACCACCCCTCGTCAATGAATTAAAGCCCAAAACTATTGACACATGAAAAGCCATACAAGTGAAAAAAATTAATAAACAAATAAAATTCTATGTATTTTGGTGTAGGCCTCATTCACAACAGCAGTAGTCTGATTGAAAACGGCAGTCGTCTGGGAGGACTTCACAAAACTGTCCATTCACCAACACCAGATCAGAGAATCAATGCAATAATACACACATGTAATGTTTGCATCTCCATTGTAAGCAGTGTTGTGTAAGTTACTAAATGTTACTAGAATGTATCTTGTTTAGTTACATCCGATTACAGTAACTTATTACTTGTAATTGACTTACACCCATCACTAATTGTATTATTAGTGAGAATAAATCCATACAAACATGTTGGGATTTGCACACAGATATCAATTCTAACTTTGAATGGAGGAATACAAGTTCTCCTATTTCTACAATAATCTTACAATAACCCTAAATGTTTGTTCTAATAACACGTTAATTTAAGAGTTTAGTTTTATGATGTTGAATAACGCGACCTTCACATGACTATTTTCAAACGTTCATCTGCCGTTTCCAATTACACTGCAGAAAAAACAATAAACTATCTTCCAAATATCACGCTTTGACTATTTGCCAAATGCCAATCAGATCCTGGGCCCGCAGCCAACCGAGCGACAGCGCCGCAGCAGTCTCAGGCACGTTGTCAGAAAATAAATGTCTTAAAATACTAAAATTGTGAAAGTAATATTGGCAAGAAAAAGTTCTGGAAATCTGACACTACTGGTTTTAGTTTGAAATAACAAAAGCACAGCAATGAGATTGTGGTCAGTGTCACAGCCAAAGTGAACCAGACGTCCTTTAAAGGTCGCTTATTACGTGTATTCTCCTGTCTGAGTAACTTTGTACCGGCAAAAAGCTGAACTGTTATCCAGGCTTTGTACAGATCCTTGAAAGTCGGGAAAATGGTTTTCAAGATTTCAAATGTGCTTGAATTTGAACAGTGTGCTTGAAAATTCTTGATTTTTTCAAATTTTACAGTGTTAATATAACATCAGGACTATAGGTTGGTGGGCGTTATTCTATTCGTTAAGTTATTTCTATTCTACAACATGAATAGTAACTAACGCTTGGCTAGCCAACAGATACATTTAGCTTAAGGGTGCCTAAAGTAACTTTTGCTTGAGGTTTATAGTTTAAAAGTGATATTATCCTACATCTGTCCTTCTCAAATATTGGGGCACGCCCCCTACTCTGCGTTCCATGTTCTGATACCCGGCGCAATTGTGGTTGCTCTGTGAATGACCGCGGTTCCCGCCTCTAGTGACTGTGAGCCGTTTTGACAACAGAATCCATAATGTAGGTGCAAGTGATGTCAATGGAAATGAATGAATTACATTTGTAAGTAAGTAAGTAAGTAATGTTTATTTATATAGCGCATTTTACAGACCAAGGTCACCCAAAGCGCTTTACAATGTTCAGAGTCAGATATTGTTCCAATCATTCCAGACAGATTCCAGATTTGGTTTATTTTTTGTGTTATTTGTTTTATTCACACACATAACAAACTTCTGCCCAACAACTGTGTTTCCAAACTTTAGAGCATGGATTGCAGTCTCAGTTTGAATTTCACACAAATTCAAATGTAGCGCTTTGGGCTGGTCACAGCGATTAGCCCACATCACATGGGCGTCTGGGGATGCTGTAATTGAATGGCGTCTATCTCAACTCCAAAATCAGGTCACAATTTTTATGATTTTTTTCCCTTCCCAAATCTTCCCTGGCTGCATGTAGACGAGAGCAAAGCGACACATCAGCAGCTAGGAAGTGACAGGAAAGCAACGGTTATTATGAGAAAATAAAGTTGCGGTTTAGAGAATGTGTTTACTGGCCCATTTTCACAAAAGAAAGAAAAACGGCTTATCGGGAAAATTCCTGGGTATCGACCCACATATAATGAGGTAAATTTGAAGACAGTAGAATATGCAAGCCTAATGGAAAATGCTTATTCCAGTTGTGGCTTGCTGTGGGGAAATGTCTATCATATTGATTGCTAAAGGGCTGCACTAGTAATAGTAATACTTACAAATCGGCTTATACTACTGTTACTACCTGGTTTGTTTCAGTTTTATCATCATCGGCTCTTGTGCTGTCCTCAGTGAGAAAACAATGCCCTAGAAAATATTTTTAAAGGCACATTTTGATGGTTTTTCCTAACATGACCAGCCCTGGGTCATTTAGAACCTTTTAGACCCAATTTAGGATCTACTTGGGTCTACTTCAAATCGCTGTGGTGGGTCATTCTGACCAGAAGGAAGCACTAACATGGACAGTACAGTGTTCCATTTGGATTGCAGGTATTAGTATGCATTCAATAATTCAAAAAGTCCATTCTTAATTATGCACTTTATCAAGTTACTACTACTGCTCCTACAACAATTAGTACCAGACTGGGAATCCCCAGTCTGCACAAGACGATGGACGAGAGACAGACAATGATGATACTGTACACTAATGGACAGATGCTTGTAGCTTGTTCACAGATCCAACATGGCGCGGTAGAAGCCTCTTCCCTAATGTTTCACTTGCCAAAAACCACAGTAATCGTCGGCACCATTGTGGAAACATCATAACTCTTTTCAAATTTTTCCATTCTCGTTGAATCTCTGTTGTGAGACATATCGTTCTCCTGTAGATTTCATATGATTGTTGCATACATACAGACACATATGACACCATATTTTCACCACGGACTCTTCTTGCGTTAAGGGTCCCGGGTTTTCTATGAAGTAATAAATGTCTCCTAGCAGATCTGTGTCATGACAGAGGCGAGTCTGACCAATATTTTTGTCGTCATCTCAGGTCTAATACTGGCTTTGCATTTCAGTTTGGTTTCATGGTTGTCTTTATATCTCCTCTGATTTGTGCGTTTCGCCCACTAAGTCTTATAACCCTTAAATGGGCAAGCACATATAAAAACTTTGGAAAAATAATTAATTGCTATTTTCTAATGTTTCTAGGCTAAAATAACACAATTTCATGATTTTTTTCAGAATATGAACTTTATTTTTCATTTTAAAGTTTGTATCTCCCAGGATACATTGCCCGTTTAGGGTAAAAATTTAACATTTTCAAATATTTCATTTGTAAACTTTTAAAACATATTATAAGCAATCAATTAGTTACTTTTTTCATGTCTTGTAAACAAAGTTTAAAAAAGTGGGGGAAAAACTGAACACAAGTCATTGGAAACAAATCTAACTTTGAATAAACAACGAGCTACTAACACTGGCCAGTGGAAGCTGTGGAAACAGTTGCGAGGGTTTTAGCCTGTGACAATACAAAGCCTCACTTTGCACTTCTGACACACGATGGAGGTCTGTCCATCCTGGCACATCCTGCATCGGCCTTTCACTGACATGATAGGGAAGTGGTCAATCCTGTCATATATCATATCATCTACAGGCCTGGGGACTTTTGGCTGTTTGATTACTCTTGGTGGTGTGTTGTCTTCGTTTCCTTTGGAGGGGCGACCCCTTTTTTGCTTTTCAGGGTAGATGAGTCCTTTGGCAACATCCAACCTAAAGACCTTCAGGCAATGATGTTTCTGACCCAGTTGGGCTGCATCACGACGATGGAGAAGCCAGGCATTATTGACAGCAATGTCAACCATCTGCCAAAATATGGCCAGGTACCATCGATGTGACTTGGCTGGAGTGCGATAGAGGGCAATCATCATATCAGCCAAATCTACTCCTCCCATGTGAGTGTTGTACTCAGATACAATCTTCGGGCATGGCACGCTTATCTTCTTCTTTTCCTCTTTGGAGTAGCGTCTCACTTGGCCAACTGGGCTGACAGAAGCACAGGAGCTCACCAAGGTGACAGTTTTGTTGTCTGCCCATTTGACCATAGCAAGCTTTGCATCGTTGTCTACACGAAAGTCAAAGCTGCCTCTTCCTCTTCGTAGGAGGTCTCGATCTTCTTCCAATGTGCAACCCATCAAGCGGTTCTTTCGAATGGTACCCAAACTTCTGAGGCCCATAGACTCCTTTAGATGAGTTATCAATCTCAGGGATGTGAAAAAGTTGTCAAAGTAGACAACGCAGTTGGAGGGATTTCTGATGGTTCTGCACAGCTGCAGAACCACATTTCCACATAACCCAAACTCTTTGTCTAGAGAAGCACCATCAAATGTAGACTTCCCTGTGTAAACCATGAAGTCATACACAAAGCCAGACACACCAGCTCGCACAAAGATCTTGAAACCCCATTTCTTGGGTTTGCTGGGTAGATACTGCCGCAGACTTCCAGCTTTTTTGCCTTTGTATGGTACCATCATTTCATCAATTGAGAATTGGTTTTCACTCTCAATTTCCATACACTGCCCCCTCATGTGGTCAAGTACAGGCCTTATTTTCACCAGGCGATCTTCACTGGAATCAGAGCTCATGTTATCTTGAAAGTGGAGCATCCTGGACAAACATTTATACCTCTTGAGTGGCATGACATCTGCTACTTTGTCATATCTAGTATCTGTTGCCCAGTAGTTTTCCACTGCAGGCATTTTCACTACACCCATCATCAACTTCATTCCAATGAATGCTTTGATTTCAGAAGCATCAGTGTTGATGCTACTTCCAATGAGCTGACATGAATACAAGTTCGTCTGGTGAGCAATGGTCCCAAAGATGTCCTCATCAAAGAATTTGGAGAAGTATGTTAATGGCGTGGATAGCTCATCTGGTGTAGTGAAGCAACTTGGTGTAGCAGTAGACTGGTGCTCAAATTTAGTTTTTCTCCACCTATTGAAAAGGAAAAAAATATCTGTGAAAAAATAGGCACCCCCTTCCCCCAATCACCAATACAAACCACCAAAATCTTTATATTTTTAAACTCCTGTGTGTGTGTGTGTGTGTGTGTGTGTGTGCGCGTATGTTAGTGTGTGTGCGCATGTTCGTGCGTGTGTACATGCATTCCTGCGTGTGCGAGTGAGAGAGACTAACACACATGACCATACAACACATCATGTTTTGCTGCAGACAGATGCTGTACGTACAATATCTACGCCAAAATAGTTGGATCTTTTACATAACAATTCACTATACTACTCTAATCATTACCTGAACATCCTCCCTCTTTTACTGTGGTTTGCTCCCTCTTCTGCCTCATCGTCACTGCTGCTGCTGCTGCAGTCCTGACACTGGCCCTCTGTATACAATTCATCTTCCTCATCTTCACTGGTTCCCTCATCTTCATCTGAATCAGATGAACCATCAGGTGGCAACACAACAGATGCCACCTCTCTCTTTCTTGTACCATAGAAAGTACTGGTAGAAATTCCCTGAAAACATATGTACGCAGGTAAATTAATTAAAGTATATCTGAGAGTGATTATGCCTGTTTATATACCCCTATCTGGGCAACGTATCCCCCAGGATACAGACATTCAATGCCTGTTTATCAAAGTTGTGTAAATGTAATTCATTATTTTTCAACAAGAATACATATAATTATCCTTAAAGAACAATATTTTCAAAAACAAATCCCCCCAAAACATAATTAACAAGAAAAATAACAACACTTACCTCATGCCCAGTGTCTCTGTCCATGTAGGCAGCCATTTTAGAGTGTGACATAAATGTATCAATTTAGTTTTGAATGCTGCAAAAAAGTCACATGACCTGGGTACTTGACCCATCCCCCCTTAAGACTTTCTCATGATATTTAGTGCAGATACTTAATGCCCCTCCCCCCTACAGCCTGCCAAATGTCTGTATCTCCCAGGACACAGAAACCATTTAGTACTCGTCGTAGCCATGTCTTCTTGTCACTCAGCGAGAGCCGTATGCGCACGAGGATGTAAACAAAGATCCTCCTATAAATGACTCTGGATGATCGTAAACCACACCTCTCCTACAATAAAATTAACAAAGTTGCAAAACTAAACATTCACATGATAATTAGTCTGGTGTTAGCCAGGGTATAATTATTATTGCTGATTCACCAACCACATCAGACAAAGGCATGATTAACAAACAATGATCTGCAGACATTAAAATGTATTTACTGCATGCTGTACATGAAATGTAGTTATGTAGTTCCACCTTTTTTCCAAATACATTCTTATTAGACGTTGTGTATTTTTCAACAAAAAAAAGTTCTCATTTTGTCTCTCATAGTTGAGACATACATATGGTGAAAGTTACAGGCATCTCTCGTCTTTTTAAGTGGTAATAAGTAATAATTGGTGGCTGACTAGACTTTTTTTCCCCACTGCGGGAAACTTTGTATACTTTAGTTACACACGTTTAACTGATGTGTATAAAGCCACTGTTTTGAGCAGCGGTTCGCAGCACACCTGTCCACAGGGAGGTCCTCACGGAGAGTGAACAGCCAGTTTATTTGCCACACGAATAAATTTGCACCGTGCAATTCTACATATTTGTGTGGTTTTAAGCAGCCGATATTGTAGGAAGATACAACTGTTCTAATCAATCTGATCTAAATTGACTTGTTGGATGTGTAAAGTTTGAATCAAACAGAACAGAAGCACACATATTTCAGGTGAGGAGGTGAGTTTCTACGAGTTATTTAAATATTCTCGTCCACATGTAGGGTGATTTGTCCCAGGCATTTGACCCCTCCTTAAATGCCGGTAGGGCTCCTATCCGGACCTAGGACCTTCTTGGTTAGGGTTAGGATGGGGTGAGCTTTTTTCGCCAGGGTTTGGGCTGTTGCATAAAGTTGTCCTTCTAAAAAAATATGTTTGTGTGGATGAAAGCTTGGCATGGTCCATTATAAAAGTGGTCCACTATGATGTGATACCCTGCACTGTGAGTCAGATGTTCAAAATGTTCCTTTCTTCCTTATGGTGAAAAGCTGACATACTGTAGGTCCAAACAACACGCAAACCTTTCCTGCTGTCATTCCGGGTCGATACGGCATTTCAACACAGATTTGCAGAGAGTATACATTATTCCCTCTTCAGTTTTTTCTGACAAACCAACAGACACATAATTAGGTATGAATATATTTATTGCAGCAATTGGCCCCCGGCAGAAATACTGCATGACGTCTGCAAACATGCCGGCTTTCAACTGGAGAGGCAAAGGAAGCTGTACATGAAGGTATTCCACTGATGAGGTGGTGACAGGGAGGAGGAGGGTTGTAGCATAAACAGTCACTTGATGCTGTAGGAATGCGGGGCTTTGTTTATACGCAGCCGTGAAATTATTTGGACTTTAGCACGATCTTCAATCTTCCAGTATGAATAGCAGAATTTAACAAATTTTTCACTTTTCAATAATAGAAAGTCATGCCATAAAAACACAACCCTCAAACTGCTAGTCTTTCCAATACTTGCGGTCAGTTTGCACCTATCCCTCCCTCACCTGTGTCTGTGTGTGTGCGTGTGTGTGCGTGTGTGTGTCTGTGCGTGTGTGTGTTGGCGCGCGTCTGGCTCCATTCTCCTCGCTCTGCCATTGGTCCTCCGCACGCTCCAGGCTCGTGTGCGCGCAAAGGAGACCAGCCACCACATCTGAACTCCGCGCACAAACGCACGGCAGCATCTCCAAGTGGAGAGACACACGCGCCGCTGTTACGGGGCCGAGATGCACCGCGCGTAAAGACCGCACACAGGACCCAGAGACCGGGCTGCGGGAGAGAGCGACATCCGTGGAGCTGTGGTTGTAGGGGACCAGCCGGGATGGGGGCTCTCGTAAAGGGACATTACTACTTCGCCGCGCCGGGCTGCTTGCTGCTGATCCAATGCGCGGTGATCGTGTTCTCCAGAGGTAAGCGAATACAGTCTTTGTGGATCGATCTGTCATAAAGCGAGACGGTTCATCCTCTTTGTACTTTGCATTGTGAACAAAGCTGGAAGACGCATCGCTGTTTTAACATGTGCACAGTTTGATTTGAAGCTCGTTATAATAAATAAAGTTACATTAGAACAACAGTGGTTATAGTTGTGCAGGCATAACCAAACCAAGGCGCACACAGTTCAGAAGAGCACCCAAACAGACAAAGAAATCTCAAGGTTCTCTTTCCTGTTTTTTTATTTTTTATTTTTTATCTTTAGCTCGTTTTTGCTGGCTGATTTGAATATGTGCTGGTGCCAAAGCTGTGCACAAAGATGCCTCTATGTCGGCACGCCTGTGAAAGCAACAGGCATGTCCACGCACCCATTTTTTGTATCACTTACTTTTCCCTCGATTGGATGCATTTCATATTTCCACAGCGCATCCCTGGAAACGCACGGCTTTTACGCGCGCCTGCCATAGCTGGAAACGAAAACAAATGGTGTGAGAATGATGATTTGCCATGTGCGAGATGTGTAAGCGTTTTGCTGCTTTTGTACAATGCCATATGTTGAATTGAGAATCGAGGTTATGCATATTTCATACGCCGGGGAAAATTGGTTCGTTATTATGGGATGGCTGGGCTGTGTGTAAAAAGAAAGAGGAATTGCTTGTGGAGGATTTGGTTGAATTTAATATTTTGTGAAGCAGAAATGGTTGGGATGAGGGATGGATTACTTTTTTTGTGTTGGAGAATTGTGCTTGGTATTTTTGCGTCATATCCACTGTACTGTGTTTTGTGAATAATTTGTTTTCAGTTGCAATTTCTATCCCACGTATTGCTTATCTCAGAGCTCAGTCCTTGTATTATCCATGTGTGATTGGTGGTGGTCCATATAAGGACGTCGTATGGTTTGATTCAGGCGGGGTCCTTCGGTCTAGAGTTTGCATGCTGTCCCCCGTGTCTGCTCTATGTTTCCTCCGTGCACTCCGGTTTCCCCTACAACTGAAAACCTGTACAATAGATTACGTGCCTCCTGTATGGTGACCCCGCTTCCATCTCTGTGTGTGGAATGAGAGGACAAAGGCCCACAACACTTAAAATGTGCTTTGTCTGTGAAATGCGTCATATAATATACATATTTTAATTGGATCGATAACAATAATATCTTTGTAATCTGGTCAACTGCGCGCCTTATTAAAGATTGAGGACCCGATTTTCTAAGGGTGCAAAAAATACAATCTTTTATCTATTTAAATGCCTAGCGCAGCTTTAGAGCGACTTTTTGCAGACTGATGCGACAGATGGGAGGACCGCCTTCCCTCAGCATTCGGCTCTTCATTAGTTATGTTTTGACTGAATGAATGTTGAAGAAAATACAGCTTCATTCTAAGGGTAACATTAATTAACACCATCTTTAAAGGTGATAAGCGCTGAGAATGTAAGATTGAATGGTTGTTTCATTCTAGTGTCGGTATTTATGAGTCACGGTTAAATGGTTATTTCTTAATAAGCAAACACATTCTGTAGCCGCTACTTCCATACTCAATCATTAGAATCAATTCAATTTTGCAAAGTATTTGTGTATTTCTCTAAATCACAGTAGAGGCAATGCAATAATAACAAACATAGAAGCATGGAGCCGGATGACCACTGTCTAAAAACTCATGAATCAAGTTTTGCCGATTACCGATTTACCTCCTCTGGTCCATAAATGACCACGTATGTTCAATATATTTTAATCTTTGATGTTAGATCAGAGATGATTAGCCAAAAATGACAGATAGTACAGTTGTAAAACAGGCATGGAATATTACGAAACAATATAATGCAGTGTTTTTCAACCAGTGGGCCGTTGTATGTAAGTGTGCCATGAGACGTTGTTTGAAATGATCCATTATCAGATTAAAAAGACTTTTTCATGACAGCCCTTTGATGAGAATGAATGCGTTCCATAAGATTGCAGAATATAATTTATGTATCAGTTTTAGCTGGTGTGTCATGTGATTTTTTTCAATGGAAAGGTGTGTCATGGCTCAAAAACTTTGAAGAACTCTGGTATAAGGAGTGCTGAATGGATGTAAAAATATGAGAATGAAGCAGGCCAAGTGCTCTTTGAAGGTGGTGGGTGGATACCTTACAGCAAACCCATTAGCCTAACCTCAAGCCTTTATTAGAACATGGTGTATAATATAAAAACTCACTAACACGTTTCAGCAACTTGCCCTCCTCTGGGTGCATGCATACACAGGTGCAGACTTAGCTTTTTAAAGGGTGGGGCTTTTTTACCTTAACCTTCGGAGTGAGTTGGAGTTCAAGCAGATGAAATTGTATTTGCAAAATGGACTTATTGAGGTAGCAGATGTGGCTACTGTAGTAGTTTATCACTGCGTGTATGGAATGAATGAATATTGACATGTGAAGTGTCTTTGAGTGTCCAAAAAAGCGCTATATAAAACCCATATTTTATTATTTTCATTTACATTTGGTGGATCTGAATATGCCTGAATGACGGTTGCTTTTTAGATCCTGAACCCTATAGATTCTAAGCTTTAAATAATGTGGCGTAACATATTAGCAGAGGTGAAGTTTGGAGGTAGTAACTTTCAGATGATTAAAAAAAAACTGTAAAATCGAGAAAAATTACCAAGGTCTGGCAAGACTCGAACATAAATTGGTCTTTCCTTATTCCGCAGCCGGTTTCCCGTGGCTCTTGGTCAGAGGTACAGAGGTCCATAAGCAGCTGGAAACAGATTGAGGTCATCTGGACTCCACTGACCGCTGCTGCTGCCGTTTGCTGGACGAGTGTCCATAAGGATCATTTCTGTGTTTAGGAAATGTGTGCTACAAGCAAAAAGGACAGTCACAAATGCATGATCGCCTTTTGTCCATTTATCTTGGCAATTTGGTCATGAGCTATAAAAACCACTGTTTTTTTCCCCCTCAATATTAGTTAAGTTAGTAGTCACAGAAGCAGCAACAGTTACAGCAGCAAAAAGTGTGCAAGAGAAGGTGATGAGGTAAAAACTTTTTTTCAACTAAACTGCTTGAATTTTACATTTATTTTCTTTGAGAGATGACTGAAATATGAGGAGCTTAACCATCGTAAGAAGTCCAAAAAGAGCTACTGAAACGATTGTCTATATTACCTGATACCAATTTCTTTACTTTCCCAAATGCTGTGATGTCAACTACAAATCAAGGATTCAAGTCAATTAGACTTATAATTTGTACATCCTTAAATCACAACAGCAGTCGTCTCGGAGGACTTTACACTTTTGCCAACAGCAGCTCAGAGAATCAAACAGTTTCAACTCAGGAAATACAATAATAACAAACACATAGGAGCCATTGATCCATAGTGCAATACTGTCCTTAGGCATCAGCAAGGAGTCACTCAAACACAAAAGCATTGATCTTGAGGAAAAGGCAAGGCAAGTTTATTTGTATAACACAGTTCATACACAAGGCATCTCAAATGGCTTAACAAGGCAAGAAAAGAGGCATTAAACTCACACAAGGCATTAAAATGATAATTAATAAGGTGAAGGTAGAAGCCTGTCTCACATTTTCAGGAAGACTACTCCAGATTTTAGCTGAATAAATCTGAAATGCTGCCTCCCCATGTTTAGTCCTGAATCTGGGCACTAGCAGGAGGCCAGTCCCTGTGCTCCTCAGAGTCCGAGGAGGATGTACATTGGTGCGAGGCCATTGACTTGTATTCAAGCAGAGCTGTTTCGAAGTCGATTCTCTCAGCCAAAAAGTCACATTGATCAATCTCAATATTTTGATTGATGATTAATTCCATCTTTTTATTTTTTATTTGACTCATACTCATATTCATGCAGCGGCAAACACTGAGGTAATTAATCCAAACATTATGAAAGGCAAATTAAGAGACCGACTGTTTGTCCCTCGCTTCTTTCTAGCGAGTTTAGGAGACAGAAGAACAAGTTCATCTTCAGCCCCATGATTTATGAAAATGATGAGGGAACACGTCTTGCGGTCTCACAGCAAGAAGGTCCTGGGTTTAATTACATTTGCAGGCCTTTCTTTGTTGAGTGTGCATGTTCTCCCCTTGTCTGCTTAACTAAAAGTGACAACGTATTTATCACACAGTAGTCTCTTGCTTATTGCAGGAGTTACATTCTAAAAAAAATAATCTGCTATAAGCTCCTGCTGTATGTTAGAAGTCTCACATACACTTTTCTAACCACTTGAACTTTCTTTTGCTGAAGTGCGATCGCAGAGGTGTCAAATCTGTTCATTGTAGGTCTGAGCACTGCTGCAGCCGTCAAAAGCTGTGCAGTTGCAGAAGACACCACACGGGGGTTCAGGAGGAGGATTGAGGGCTACGAGAAGAGCGTGGTAGTCTCCTGAACTGATCACCGCAGTCCAGACAAGCCACAAAAGTTTTCTTCTAACTTGATATAAATCCAACTGTCGTGTTATACAAGCGATTCATATATTGCTGGAGTTTACAAGCAGCTCAGGAGAAGCACGCTGTTAATAATGAGGTCGCAAAAGCCGACTAACCCCTTGGGGCAGTACCATAACTCGCCACTGGTTATATTTAAAATTACTTCTGCAACTGATAAAACCTGGATCCCTCCTTGACGAATAAGAGATTACGCCAACATGGTCATTATATAACTGGAGCACTCCAAATTAAATGTGTTTTTAATGTTGTGTAGACCTCCCACGCCAGGATGAGCAGAGAATACCAAGTCTAAATACATTGGCTGCATTTTTTCAATAGTAGTATCAAGTTCACTTTGCATACAGAGGGAGCGTGTGGCTATAGTTTTCATGCAGAGAATAGGATACAAGCTGCACAAGAACATGCATAGTAAAAGGACACATTAAGCAGTTTTTATTTTTACCTTAACTCATTTCAAAAGAGTGTTTTGTCATTTACAGCTCTTTTCATAAAGCAGTATACTGGTGTGACTCAGCAGTACTAACTGCAAAAATAATAAGCCTATTTTTTCTGTCACAACTTTTGCAGTATTTTCATTTACATTTTTTTAAGGTCGAATGTAAAAGTAAGAACAGTTCGGTGAGGCTATAGGAGCAGTCTGAAAGTCCATCATAATATAAGGAGGCATAAAGTATATATAGCTGTTCTGCTGACCGCTGCTCTTTTGAAATAAATGACTGCACTATCTATAATGTATCAAGGTGAAAGAATTCTTTATCTCGCTAAAGAGGAACTTGTCCTCTGCATTTGACCCGCCATATACAGTAATAATAGTACACATACTATTGAGTATACGCTCTTCTCTTGTTTGCTACAGTTATAATGACACCTGTGGGTTTTTGTCATTCATGAGGCCAAACTGTTCAGGAAGTGTCCATGGTGTTCTCCTCATATCCTTCAGAATCACAAATCATGTTATTTCCATTGTGAGTAACAAGAAGTTACAAACTAGGAAATTGCTTTGGCTCTCAGTGCAAACAATTTAGGGGTAAAATAAGGAAGTGAGTAAGGTGTGCGCATAAATATAAGATATACATAATGTTTCATAAAATTACTACTATATGGCTCACTCCACACTAAACTGTGTCATTGGTCGATCTAACTTCAAGCAACAATAAAATGATAAATGTATGAACTAAAAATGTTTGTACCTAAACATTTTTAATACTATGTAGTAGTATATATATATATATATATATATGTAGTAGTATATATATATATATATATATATATATATATATATATATATATATATATATATATATATATATATATATATATATATATATATATATATATATATATATATATATATATATATATATATATATATATATATATATATATATATATATATATATATATATATATATATATATATATATATATATATATATATATATATATATATATATATATATATATATTTAATATATATATATATATATATATATATATATATATATATATATATATATATTATATATATATATATATATATATATATATTATATATATATATATATATATATATATATATATATGTATATATATATATAGACACAATAGTACACACAATAGACATTTAGCAATACAGTTAAAGAGACGTGGTATAAAGTGGTGGTCATATCACTATAAAAGTTCATGAGAGAGCCTTAGCGCCCACTGTCCTCGGAGCACAACATGCTACCAACGGGGAGAAGGCTGCGCGTCCAACCGCAAAGCAGAAAATATATCCCAAATACAAGGAAATTTAGAAATGCCAAAAGTGTTCATTCATTCATTCATCCCCATCCCTCTTGTCCATAGTTAAATACGGCCAGTTAAAAACGACCAGGTTATTATTCTTAGATTTTTCTTGACAATAGCAAGGCTCCCATAGAAAGGCTACTCTGTGTGTGTAAGAAATGTTGTGGATAAAGAAGTGACAGAAAATAAATGAAAAAAATAATAAATATGGACAGAGGAAATTGGTTCTTCTGCATTTCCCTACATGCTATTGACTGTTGTTAACATTATAGGTGACAATTTTATCTATCCATCTATCACCTAAAAGCAGCCATGTCCTGTTCCATCTGGGTGTCGCCCGGCCCATTGTCTATTTGTTCTCCTTTGTCTTAAGTCACAGCTCTTACGTTTGTCATTTTGTGTGCTCTTACATCCGTGTGACATTTAGAAATGTCTCAACCCTTTCTGAAAGATTAATCATTGTGCATCATTTGTGTTCATTTTCTCTCCTAAACATGCCATTGAGAACATTTGCTTTTGGCATTCCACTGATTAGAATGTGAAATCATTTCTTAAAGCTGGGGTATCTAACTTTCAACCCGCACAAAATAAACCAGGTCATACAATCTTATCAATCACTAGTTTTTTCAGTCTCTTTCACTTTTCTCTGTGGGAAAAGCTGGTCGAAAGAGTGAACCAACCAATTAGCACTCAGCCCAAAGAATCAAATAGTGGCCACACCTGCATGTGAAAGTAAGATCCTGTGAGACCTCTGAAGGTAAGTTGGGTAGGACCTGGTTAGTACTGTGAACGAAGACCTCAGAGAACACTCAGAGAAAACTAGGTGCCACATTAGGGCGGCTGTAGCTGTGGTTGTGGTTGTGGTGCTAAACTGTTGTTGTGTCCTTGCTCAAGACAGTTCACCCACATTGCCTAGAATGAGTCTTAAGTGTGTGTGTGTGTGGTGGCACATACTGGTTTTCTCGCTTCTATCAGTGTGCCCCAGGGCAGCTGTGGTAGTTTATCACCACCGTGTATGGAGTGAACTAATAATGACATGTGAACTGTCCAAAAATTATGTATTATTATTACTTTCAGGTAAGAAGGTAGTATGGATATGGACATACATACTGTACATACTCGATACAAGGCAGAGTATGTGCTTGGTCATATTAGAAGTCTAAGAATATGCCGAAAAACCAGTTTAAAAACAGAGTATTCGGGCCGAAGAGGTGTGGTGTTTGTATTGATTTGTGCCAGAAGTGTGTCTCATTGTAGAGCGGCTGGAGCTGAAAACGAGAAGAAAGATGTGAGGGAACAATGTTGTGAAATGGTTAAAGTCTCAGAAATGAAAAGACCATTTTGTACAATACGTCGCCTTTAACTTTCTCCCATGACCCGACAATCTCAGTCCATCTCGAAAAAGCGATCGACTCTAGCGACATCATTCCACTCCGCTGTGCAATCATCAAGCCGTGTGTCCACTCCGCTCTGCTGCCCTGTCCTGGCCTGCACTGCGGACATGTGCTTCAGGATCAGCAGAGGAGGCTGCAAGGACGTCTCACGAGAGGGGTCACAAACTCGGCATCCCGGGCGAGGAATGGGGGCCCCGGGGGACGTTTAAAAGGCTTAGCAGTCACCGCGGAAGAACATGGCCACACACAGAGCCGGCTGCTGCTTTCGAGCTGCCACAGGGCCTGGTTACTCAAAGAGGATGTGAGGTCACTGTGTCTGCCATGAAAGGGAGTAATATGATGTAATGAGTGTGTGCATTTGAATAGTTAATATGCACAAACAGATCAGGAGGGTCTAGGGACAGTAATGATACTGGACAATGATTAACATTTCTGGACAGTGGTCACTCGCTCCCTTTGAACAAACGGCTCCTGTGTTTTTGTTATTATTGCATTTCGTGTGTTTGAACTGTTTGATTCTCTGATGAATGCAACAATGCTCTGTTATTTGGGCTGGGGGATTTTAGGAGTTCCGTAGTACACTGCTCCAGCCCCTTCCCACCGGTGTTTTGACGTCCCATTCTGTTCGAAGTGATAGGGTGTCAATCAGATCCATAAGCCCCTCCTCCACCAATCACACATTTGAAAAACACGAGCAGGGAAAAAGAGCATGTCGACTTCAACAAAACAACAGAAGCAGACTGGGCCTGTCAGCGAGAATTACTATATCGACCCATCGTTCAATACATGACAGCAGGGACAGGATATTATAGCTCAATATTTGTAATCTGAAGATTTTCTTTACATTATGGAAAGCTTTTTTCATTTTCATACAGTAACATTTGAGTTGTAGGATTTATATGCATTCGGTGGATAGTCGGCCCTCTGCTTTGCTAAGCTATTGTAGTTTTGACTACTTGTTTCACAGAATGTAGAAAGGCAATTTTTTTCAAATTTCTGCCATTTATCTGTGTTGTCAGTCCCCGGATAAAAATCTTTTATACGTTCCGCAGTGGAGAAATTTCAATGTTGCATCACCAGTGCAACAGAACTGTAGGAATGAGTAGGTGCATAATGAGGACATGAGTACAAAAACTCGAAGAAGCAAAAATAAGAAGCAAGTACAAAGTACTGTGTATTCTAGTGCAAGAAATATGTAGTTGCATGTTTACATTTGTACATGTTAGCAGCAGTATGTTTACATCTGTACATGTTAGCAGCAGTATGTTTACATCTGTGCATGTTAGCAGCAGTATGTTTACATCTGTGCATGTTAGCAGCAGTATGTTTACATCTGTGCATGTTAGCAGCATTAGGGGATGAGACAAAGTGACAAATTAGAGCACCAGTAACACGTGGTTCAATATTGCACATTCTGACATTATTAAGTGCTTTTCATTGACAAGATTTAAAAGCACCAATAAGCAAATTACGCACTGTAAAACACATAAAAAGCTATTTAAAAACAACAAGTCCCTGGTGAGAAGGTAAACATTTATACAGCAAATGTTACAGCTTACATGAACCGAGGAAAATGCCGTTTTTTTTCAGCTGGACCTGGACACCTGGTGAACTAAAGGGACCCTCTTACTAATAAAATGTTTGGACACCCATGGTATAGAGCAATGTTGCACGGATGCTCCTCTAACAACCAATCAGCACCAGCTCTGTAATAAATGAGGAATGACTTTCAGATTCATAATGAAGTCCTCCTCACCGATGCACAAAGGCTGCACTCGCACATGCAGCGCGCCCCTAACTGTCTTTTGATGAGCGCGTTGTTGATTTGTCCGGGCGTGCAGGTGAATTTATTTAGACGCCTGAGCTGATTAATTTATGTGATGTGTGTTTTAGCGGGCGGACGCCAGGCACATGATGAGCCGGGGGATTAGTCGCTGTTTGACTTTGGATTGTCTGCGATGCTAGCTTCATTTTAATGCGCTCCGACGCTCCCCTCTCCTAATTCTGCCTTTCATAAATATGCGATGGGATTGGGTTTGCTAATATCTGCCGGCTGTAGAGACGTACTCCTCACTGTGTATAGGCGAAGGCCGGGGCGGGTATGTTTCACACTAAGGAAATATATGTGGAATTACTCGCACATGAAACGTGACCGCGCTTTCAAACGTGTGGTCCCGCGTGTCACCGCTAATGATACATGCAAGTTCTGTGACGGAAGGGCAGCAGGCTCTGGGATGGAAGCCTCATCACAACCCGAGGAGAGGCCACAGCTTGTCCCCATGATTGTGTCTGAATGTTTCAAATGATTAGCCTTGAACTCAAGCACTAAATAAATGTACACACAGATAATCTGCAAAAGTAAGGGGTGAAAAAAAACGTCTTTACTGGATGGACCAAAAGTTGGCTCTTGGCCCAAAGCTCCGTTCCACATGTGTGTCAATGCTGAGGGGGGTGGATTTTTTTGGTCCACTCTAGTTTACTCGCGGTGAATTTTTGAAGTCTCTCGTTCAAATGAATGGAGCTGCGCCGGCTGACGCATGCGCAGATGCGTTTCTTCACAATTTTCTTGTGGGCGGGACCACTCGCGGCCATCTTGGATTGCTCCATGAAAGCTCTTTTCATGGCCAACTCCTATGAACGGCGGAGATAGGCGTGACTCTGTCCGTTAATATATACAGTCTATGGTCAGCGCGTGTCATTTTGGCCACTTTTGAGCCGGGACCTGCCCCCACTGGCTAAAACTGGTTAAAATAAATTTAATGAATGCCAACTGATGCAAGTAAACAGTGTGTTGTTATGGTAATGAACACTTACTCCAAGCTGAGATTGCTCTGATCTAGTCTAGAACCAGTCTAGGCTTGAGATAATTTCATAAACATAATACATTGCTATATATTTAAAATAGATACAGAAAAAGATTGAAAATTTAAGCGGAGTAATCACACTTCCAAAATGAAAACTGTTAAATTGACTGCGCTGGGGGTTCTATGGTGTTAATCAGGAGGTGATGATGACGCAACCGTCCCAGAATCATTGTAGAGACACAGTAACTACAGAGCAATTTTTCAGATCTTTCCACTGGTTTTGTGCTTTTAGACTCCCAAAACGCTGGCTTTGTATGAATAGTCTCACTCTGGTCTCTCAAGGCTCAAATGCAGAGGACATACCAATTAAAATCTTTTTTTTGCCATCATTCTCTCCAGTGAACGTTGATTTTTATTTTTTTGTGTGGCTGTTGTGGAGTGGTAACATATTCTAAAGTCTCTGAGCAGCCGCATTTACTTACTCTAACAAATTCAGTCAGAACACCACCTGGGACATTCAAATCGCCTAGTTCATTTCAGAGATTATTTTTGCTGTGTATAGCTCTTTCCTGTACACCCGAAAAAGGTCAAATGTGTTATTTCCCCTTCCGGCAAAGTAAAGCAGGCCTATATTCCCCTATGGCCCATCTGAAAAATGAATCACCAGCCCGTGTGAGACGACAGTGCACCCTCCAACGCCCCGATTTCCATTTAAATGAAGCCAAATGACTGTACATTGGGAGATGATTTACAGTGATGATGAGGGTAATAAAAGCTGAGCTCCTTATTCTTCTGTGAGGGCGGCGGTTCGAGCTGGAGAGTGCTGTCATACGGAAACTTCAGATTTTTCTCTTGCCGCTTTATGCAGCACGTGACTCATGCCGCCGCTGAAAGAACGTCAGTGAACAGATCGGTCAAACCTGCTGAAGAACCAGCTCCAAAGTGCTTTTATGAGCACCAGAACTCCCAGAGCAGTCAATTTGACGGCTTATAGTTTTCATGAAAATGTTTGGTCTCCATAACTTTTCTGGAGCTATACTGTATGTATGTTTCTACGTATGTCATTATATTATCAAATTATTTATTTATTTTAAATGTGAGCAGTAATTTAACTCACAGAACAGTAATTTTGACTGCTCCATTAAGGTGAATTTAACAATAATTCTCCAAAGTGCTGGTTTTGGGCAGGTCCTGGGCGGGTTATGGTCCCATCAGAAAAGTACTAGTTACCACAGCAATTATTTGCAACAGTTAGATAGCCTCTAAACAAACATTATTAGCAGTATTTCAAGTTATATTAATCAGATAGTATTTATTAAAAATTAGTAAAGATAAAAACATTGAACACTATTGATTTGATTGAAAGCTGTCAAAATGACTGCTCAAAGAGTTCTAGTAGTTTCAGAAATTTTGGAGTCCTAGTGTTAGTTGCATTTGTCTTTGGAATGTTTTAAACCTCGTCTTTAGACCCACCTTTATTCTCTGGGACTTCAGGGAAATCCTTGAAGTTGCAGCTCAATGTTTTTAGGCTCTAAAGCCCCTCACCGCACACTTAATACACGTTGATAACCATGAGTGATCACAGAGATATCAAACCTGTTGGTTGTAGGTCTGAGCGCTGCTGCAGCTGTCAAAAGGTGTGTCAATATCTGTGCATCCAATCTGTTGAGATGTATGTCCCATTGTTATTTAAAACTTCCAAAAAGTCCATACACGTTTGAATGACTCTGTTTTCATCCACATGTTACAAAGGTCTCTTGAGGAGTTAAGTGGTATGACATGTCCAAAATACAACCTTTATGAAAGCTGTCAGCTGAGGACATGCAAATTTAAGATGCAGTACCTCGGGTGGCCCCTTGTTCATGTGGAGATGGGTCAAAGCAATTCCCTCCGGATCATATAAAACATTTCTCACAGCAGAGGTCTGAATAACAGGTGTAAAGTTAGTATGGAGTTCAGTAGACTTTCTGTCTTGTCGCAGATGCAGTGTGATTCATGCAAGCTCATAACGTCACATGTGAGCGCCCGGGTTCATCAACCCGAAAGCTTTAACAGAGTTACGCATCAGCCCCGCGGCCGCCACGGCGAGCTCTCCGGTCCACGTGCCCGCACTCCAATACCTCTCACATAATACTCTGCCGTTTTTATCCTCTTTCACCAGAGTGTGCCATCAGTAACTGTCACATTATAATGAAACGGCTTTGATGTATTCTGCTTGTCAAATAGAGATGTGGAAAACGCCAGGCCGTGTAAGCGAAAAACGTGAGCAAAAGTGACAGAGCCGAGGCCATTAGCTGAAAGCATGCAGCTTTGGGATGGATGTGGAAGCATATTCAAACACGCAACAGTAATTTTGTGTGTTGTGAAGGGTAACCGCCAGAGGTCACGCTTTTTCCACTTTTCAAATGTGGAATGATCACAATCCAGGTTTGGCTGTGTATGGGGTCCATGAGAGGTACTGCTAGGGGTGCATTACGTTTGACTTCTCTCCGTTTTTATCTGTTAGAGTTGTTTTCTTACA